AAATTTTTTTTAATTTTTAATTTTTTTAATGTTTATTTTTGGGAAGGGGGGGTCAGAGAGAGAGGGGAAACATAGAATCCGAAGCAGGCTCCAGCCTCTGAGCTGTCAACACAGAGCCTGATGTGAGGCTTGAACTCACAGACCATGAGATCATGACCTGAGCCAAAGTAGGAAGCGTAATTAAAGTTCAGACTTTCTGATTCCAATCTGAAGATTTTTCAACACAGCTTCTCTGAAGAGTGCCACAAATTGATGTGGGACAGGGAAGGAACAAAGATAAGACATAATCCTCATCCTGTGTTACTTCTGTTTACTTCAGGGGTCATTTTGATGGGATCATCAAGGCTCTGGCCCCTTTAAAACATAGAAAAAAGTGATGCGGTTAATGGTAACTTAACACCAAGTAGATAAAACTATTCATTAAAATTCAGAAACAGTATAAACACTCGCTGATATGCCAGAGACTTGAAGACTGTTAAAAGTAGCTATGCAGGGGCGCCTGAGTGGCTCAGTCGGTTGAGCGTCCGACTTTTGCTTAGGTCATGGTCTCGCGGTTCGTGGGTTCGAGCCCCGCGTCGGGCTCTGTGCTGACTGCCAGCTCAGAGCCTGGAGCCTATTTCGGAGTCTGTGTCTCCCTCTCTCTCTGACCCTCCCCTGCTCACGCTGTCTCTCTCTCTCTCCTAGGGGGGAAGAAAAGTGGCTGTGCAGAAGTATGTAAGGATTTATACACCTCTGAAATTCACTGAGACTCAGAGAGATAATATTTTAATCTTGGAGCCATTAGGCCACTAGCAATTCCTGTGCTAGGACTCGGTCTCTATTTTAACTCATTTAATGCTATGCTCTTAGCCTTTGCCAGCTACACTAAACATTTTGTAACTGCCCATATTCATGTCTCATGAAGCATTCCAGAAGACATATTCTCTTCATATCAACCTCCAACATGCTGTGGGACTTTAAAATCAACTTTGGAGAATCCATACTTTGTAAAATTGACATTTATTAGCAGGTTTTCTGTTCACAACACTGGATTAAGATAAATACACATATTCATTCATGATAAACAACCTGATGTCTGCTTCTGGTACTCAGAACTGTATATTAAAACTACAAATTTTGACTAGTTGTGTTGGCAACCAACAATAGGGAGATTAGAATCTATACAGTTCTGAAATGTAAGATATATTTACTGTATTCTACAACTTCAGGTGGTCACTGAAAACCTGTATTTATTGTTACCCTTTAGTATATTCTACTACTGATCTTAATAGAACTTTGTTTTCTCATTGCATTTACATGAGAGAAAAAGAAGTGAGTTCCAAAGAGCACAAGTTATTTTTTCGCATTTGGTGACGGGTAGAACTCAGACCCTATCTGAACTTGTTATACTGCCTGCCAAGCTGACTTCTCCTCTTGACCTCCCTGATGGCACCATTGTTCTACTGATCACCCGGGATCAAAATGTCTGTCTCCCTGGTGTGTCCCTTTCCTTAACTTCCCATATTGAATCTCTCTCTATATTAGGGCCTTCAGGTCTCCCCCGAGCTCTCTCATACAAGGTATGAGAGCATATACCCTTGCCTTCCTTGGTGGGTCTCCTCCTTGGGCTGGCTGAGGTGAGGTGGAGCGGTATGAGAGAATGAGGTTTTTGGGGTCCTGGGCCTGAGTCAATGCCATCTTACCCTGTCTCTCTCTACCCCTTTAATATGACTTACAGAACCTGGGAAACTTGGTGTGAGCACCACATACTTATTTGCCATTGCCACTCCTTACTGGAGGCTGGAACATCTGAGAGCTCTTTGGAAGGTAGCCTTCTCGGGTCAAGGAAAGCAAGGACCGGTGGACTATCTAAGCATTCTTAATTCAGCTTTATTTTACCCAGAAACAAGGAGAATGCTGTGCTAAGGAGAATGAGCTTACTTTTCCTTAAAAAAATCGTTGTAGATTTTTGATATTGGATAGATAAGGAATCCAGATTCAGGATGTATTGACCTTAGTTAGAATTCATCCTCTGAGAGTGCGTCTGTAAATCCCATCACACATGTGGCCCATATAAAGGGTCTTTTACTCCTCTGAAGGACTGGTCCTGAAAGAGACATTCCTTCTGAGAAGATGGAGTTTAGGTGACAAAGATCTCAAGAAACCTGGTTAATTTATTCACAATAAGAGTACAGAAGCTGGGAACATACACTATTATGTAGCACACTTATCATATTATAATGATTTGTTTACTGTTCTCTTCTCTGCCTATGTTCAAATTCTGGCCCTGACAATGACTAGCTGTGGGCCATAGATAAGCTATTTAACTATGTTATGCCTCAGTTTCCACACCTGTGCAAGGTGATGATAGCACCTACCTCACAGAATGATTATGAGGATTAAATTCTGAGTGAATTTAGCTTTCTGTCCCTAGGGCCTAGTACCATGACTGGCTCATGGGCACTCTCTAATTATTTGTGAAGTATTTTAGTAGCAAAATGTTCTGTAAACTTCTTTGGAAGGCTGAGCTTAAAGAATTTGTCACATTACTTACTGGATTTTGGAAAGAGAATTTGTCCAAAAGATACTTTTCAATCAGATGAAACTAAAGATAATGTCTGTCTGCAAAGAGAAGTTGAAACCAGATGAATGTTTTGAATATTTTATGACTGCATTTGAGAAACGTTAGGATATCTCCATTCCCACATTTGGATGTGTTCTTGGAATTACCTTTTGTGTCTTGTCCAAGATGGCTAGAAGTTGACTTGAATCTCCTCCAGCTTCATTTGAAGCTGTGCTCAAGCTCCAACACATTTGAAGATGCGGAGTTTGGGCACTAACTTTTTGCTGTCTTGCTTCCCCTGGCGTGATCTCCCTTTAATGTCCCATGCATATCCTTTATTGGACACACTAGTACACATTGTCTTAGGACATTTAGATTTGCTGTGGCTTGTTACTTAATTATTATAGGTTCACTTTAAATCTTAATTGACTGTAGCTTTTGTTGGGGAAGGACAGAGTCTTATTTTTCTTTCCTTCACAGGAATATGTAAGAATGGTGAGCTCTCTGCTCTGACTGATGGGTCTAAAATTACGTTTGTCCCACATGTTGAGAAATGTCATTTCTGAAAGGGGAAGGTGTTGAATAGCCTTCTCTGGAGATCTTTAAAAACAGTGGTCCTGCTCACCTGATTGAGGTGATGAAAGTGAGGTCTTGGGGGGCAATGAAATGGCTTCTGGTCCTGAAGTTGAAATTATTTTAACTTTAGTTCGAATGCACATTTGAAAATAATGTGTAAAAAGTACAGCAGGATATTCTGTGGCAGGTAATTTAGTTAGAGGATGGGGCTGGGATCAGGTCAGGGCTGCAGGTACATGGAAAAACGTTCTTTAGTTCAGAAACCGGAAGAGAAGGGTAGAGGGCAATTACAGGAACACAAGCATCAGGTCTCAGGCAAGACAATAGGCGTATTTGGCCTTGCAAGTCCAATTAAGTGGGTCTGGCAGAAAGCAGGTGTGTTAATTTTCTGTCACTGCTGTAATAATATTGCACATGTGAGGCTTAAAACAACATATGTTTATTCCCCAGGTCATTAGTCAGGTACAAGACGTACCTGGCTAAAATGACTCTCCATCTGGATTCTCACAGGGATCTCAGACTTAACACGTCCTAAATGGAGCTCCTGCTTTCAGCTCAAACCTGCCTCGCCTCCGGTCTTCCCCGTCCCATTAAATACTAGTTCCGTTCTGGAATTGTTCATATCAGAAACTCTGGACTTGTCCTCAATTCCTCTTTCTTATAAGCCCCAGTCAGTCAATCTGGTTGGCTCTACCTTCAAAATTATATAATCAGTGTGATTATTTCTCACTGTCTCACCGTCTGTAGTTTGGACTCTTATAGTAGCATTTTAAACTGGTTTTGCTTCTTCCACTCATGTCCTATTTTAACGTATCTCCTTAGCACAGCAATCAGAGTGATGCTGCTAACATATAGGCCAAATCTCACCCCTCTGCTCTTCACAGCCTGTTGGCCCATTTCACTCAAAGTTAAAGCTTAACGGGGCAGGCAGGCCTGTCACTCTGCCCCCCCCTCCCCCCCGACTACTGCTCTCCAATGATGTCACTTGTTCACCTCATAGGCTGTTTGGACCAGTACATCATCAGATTCTCAAAGCTTCCTACCTGTCTGTAGCCAAAGGTCATCCTTGGCTGAGGAGGCAGATTTCAGGTCAAATAGGGACACATGGCTCTTTCATTCTCTCTTTTACCCCAACCTTCTTCCACCCCATTGTGATAGTCTCTGAGTCTGAGTGGAGGGGCTTTTTCATGTCTGACTCAAAGAGTTGATAGAGATTTCCTCACAGGGTTCCATGGTCCCCAAACCAATGACCAGCCCAGGGGCATTTTCTGGTTCTTCTTCTCTTGTACCCAGTTGGGCCTGGAGCTGAAGCGACACCTGATGCTGAAATACAAACCAGTTGTTGGGGTTTGAGGAGGGGGCAGATGTTCTTAGATAAAAGGGCTGGGAGGGAGTGGTTCCTATTTTAGGTTAACTACATCAGTCTTCCAGTCTTGCGACATCTTTCTGCTCAATTGGCCACACTTCTGGGGATTTTGTGCAGGAAACAAGCATCTTCTTGAACAATTGTTCCTCGTTGTTGAATTCAGCAGCTGGCAGTGAGGTGAAGGATGCAGACAAAGCCTTCCTTAAGGGCTGTCAGGGTGGGCTCAGTGAGGTGTTCACCCCTGTGTCTCCCCTGCACGGTTCTTCCCTTGCACTTGTACGTAGAGGGTTCAGTGTATGTTTATTGTGCTGAAATGACACACTTTTAAAGGCTAACGAACGTACCAAATGATTAATCAATCACACACAAATAAAGTCTAGATAAGATACCTTATTATCTCTGGAATTCGATACCAGTGTAACTAAGGGAACTAAGAAGGGGGCTAAGATCGGCTGAGGGCCTTTTAGGACAAATGAGGTGGCAGTGGGGTTAATGTGTCTTGTTTTTGTCTGATAGGTCATTGCTTGTGAGCAGCAGTATGACTCTTCCTATGACGCTCGCTGTGACGTCTGGTCCTTGGGGATCACAGCTATTGAACTGGGGGATGGAGACCCTCCCCTCTTTGACATGCATCCTGTGAAAACGCTTTTTAAGATTCCAAGGTAGGACACAAGATGGCGCTCTTGGCTCATTAGTTCTTTGTGAAAGAGGCTGGTTAAGAGGGATAATAAATAATAGTTCCTAAACAATTCCTGGCCAAACCTAAGAAAGCCTGATTGTAAAATGTATTTCTTTTGGAGAAAAAAAAAGGGGGCGTAGAGGAAGGATGAGGATGGATGTTCCTGAAAGACAGCATATCCCAAAGAATAATAGGACTATGTTGTAACCGTTGCATATTTTCAGTACTCTGATTTTTCTGAGATACTCGCTTATTGTGCTTTGCACAAGAGGACTAAAAAAAGCAATTTTGGATTAAATAATCTCGCTCAATGCTGATTTTTTCTTTTTAATTATATAATCACATCTGGTCATTCTGCTTGCTTATTGGAATCTTTCTTGAGTATTCATGGAAAATTTGGGGATAAAAAACGTGCATTACATTTTCATATCCACTCAGAGCAACACTAAAAAACAACAGGAAGCGAATCAGTTATAAGACTTACTCTCCATCCCCTGATTTCCATCTCAATGGGACATTGTGCTAAAAGAGGTCTGTTTGGAGGATATTTAAATGCCAGTATATTTTCTATTGTATGTATTCATTAGGGGTTTGTACGAGAGGTTTGGTTGTTTGTCTTTCATCAGAATTGGACTGCTGTTTGGCTGCTTAAGCTTCTGGTTATCGAAAAAACGAAGCAATCTGGGAGCTCTGTCCTGCTCAGGTTGCAGATTAAGAGATTTGTACCCTCCACATTTCTCTTTCAAAGGAAGGCTCTGGCCGGCTTGGAGCTGTTTAACTACTTTAACAATGCAAGTGTTAACCTTTCCTTATCTGCACAATCACACAGCCTTTAAAAAATCTCTCCTGATTGCAATTTGCATTTCTGATTAGGTCTATTTAAATGCAGATGAAGCCTGTGGTGTTCATCATCGTAATGTTATCGTTTTATACCTAATCCAGATGTGAGCCACCACCCACCATTATTCCAAATATGATTCCCACCCAAGTCAGGATTGGTCTTTTTGCCTTTTCTGAAGTACAAACACAAGTCCAAGCTATTGGAAGCACAGACAAAGTGCCTGGCTTTTAAAATTAATAGTCTGGTGATCATTCAAAACGAAGTAAGAATGCAAGACCAAAAACATTACTGTATGCAGTAATATGTAAGAAAGTGAGAAATGGTGTCTGGGATGATATGTGTGTGTGTGCTTTGATTTTTTACAAATCATTTACTTTTCACCATTTATTTACTGTGGCTACATAATTTCCCAAAGATCAGAATTAAGGTGTGTCTTCTGATTAACAAGATATATGTAGTTCTGATAAGAAATCATCTGCTAGAGTATATATATTTTTTCTTTTTTAAAGCATGTGTTTGTGTACAGACCACCTGTTCAAAAATTTCATAGGGTGATTAATGTGAGGCAGCTTAGAAGGGGTGTGTGTGTGTGTGTGTGTGTGTGTGTGTGTGTATTTAAATAGACTCTTCATCTCCAATGACTCCTCTGAGCTTGCTTCTGTGCCGAGCTAAGTCTCTGGTCTCTAACAATCTCAGTACTTCACTTCTTCCATCTTGGGAGAAGCTCCCAGTCTTTGAAACACAAATACCCCCTCCCCCCCCCCCCCCCCCACTGCCTGCCTCAGAACAGGGTGAGCCCCAGGAAGAGGACAATTGCTAGAAAAAGATCTTAGGGGAAACAAGGATCCTTACCCTAACATAGGTTTAAGCTTTCTTTTTCTCCTTCTAATGTAATCTCCTGCCCTTTTACCATCTCTTGCTTCCTGCACAAGTGATGAATCAGATCAAACTAGGGAATATCAACAATAATCAGTCAGCAGATCCTCCGTGAGAGTCTATGTGCTGAACACTTGCCATCGTCCCAACCTTAACAGCCACCTTGACATTCCTGTGCAGGAAAGATGGAGGGTTTTTTGTTTTTGTTTTTTTTTTAAGTAGCATATTTGCATATACTGCACAGCATCGTACACTCATCAAGTCATTTACTTAAAAATTACCCCGTCAAGGGTCCTGGGTGGCTCAGTCGGTTAAGCGTCCAACTTTGCCTCAGGTGTTTGTGGGTTTGAGCCCCGTGTCAGGCTCTGTGCTGGCTGTGTGGTACCTGAAGCTTGCTTCTGTCTCCATCTCTCAGCCCCTCCCCCACCGGTGATCTGTCTGTTTCTCTTTCAAAAATAAATAAACATTAAAAAAATTTTTTAAATTATCCTGTCAATTAGAATTATGTATTGCTCTTACAAAATATTGTGGATTGACCAAGGAAGTATGTGTGTGTGTGTTCATACTATCTTAATTTTGAGTGCTAAAAATGTACATTTCCTCAGAAAAGCTCTTTGATGGAGAAATTAAGCATTTACATATTTTAACTGGGCACTCAAATTATTTACCTGTGTGTTTCATGGGGCGCTCCTTCCTTCCCTCCCTCTCTCTCTCTCTCTCTCTCATTCTCTCATTCTTTCAGTGTTTTCTTTCATGATGGAGAAGAAGAAATAACAAGTAATGACAAAAATCCGTTTAATCCATTTGGCTTCTGTTTTTTTTTCCTATTTGGTTATGAGTGTCTTTGCGGTTCTGGAATTCCCTTTAGTTAAACAGTGAAGTCCATTTCAGAGCATTCTAGGATCTAGAGCACTGTGTGGAGCTTCTTCCTTTGTCCCTCTTCATCCGTCTCTTCCCTGCAACCTTCCTTACTGGAAATAAGTTGAGTAAAGTGCCAAATAAAGGAAGAAAAGAAAAGCTTTACTGAGTCAGGGAAGACAACTTTCACAAGTTACAAAGGACTTAGGAATGAATGAAGTGCTGGTTACATGTCAGATGTCAACAAAGCAGATAATGACATCGGCTCCCTGGACACTGTCAGAAAACGTGAAGCAAGACCTGCCTGGATGTGGTGGGCTTCCCTGCACACAGGTCTCCTTGCTTTCCCTGCCTCTGCCTCCATTTCTTCGGGAGGCACCTTCTCCTTTCTTTTGACCTTCACATTAGAAGATGACACATAGAGTAATCGTGACTTGTCTTTGAAATGCTGGGTGACTCACAAACTTTCCTACGTTGTAAACACACAGAAATTATCTGCTGATTGTGACAGCATCCACTGTTTGCTGAGCCTGTCAGCATGTGTCATCTTGTCTAACGCCTTTGCTCCAAAAAAAGTCACCCTTCTCTGACAGTCGCTGCTCTGTCTGTGGCTATTTTTCTCTAGGAGTTAGAAGAGAGGAAAAGAATGAAAACCATTTCTTTGGGCATCAGTGGACTTGACAACATCTCACTGATGACTTTCTCGTGAGGACTCCTTTAAAATGTCAAAGGCTTAGAAGGATCTTGCTGATGACCTGGATGTATATATATATTTTTTCGTTTAAAAGGAGATCCATTTCATAGATGTAATTGCAAGAACCCATGGAGTTAGGAGAAATATACAATTATGTTTCTCTCTTGGCAACTAGGTATCTTTCCTTAGCTTGGAATCTTTGCCTAATGACCTCTTTGACCTTCATAGAAATGGGTCAGGAAGGCAGTGGGGACCAATGTGAGAGTGTTTGTTGGACACAGACTAAGAGCTGTGTTGCCTGCCCATTAATTTGGGGCCAGATAAGGGTTGACTCATCATACATTGCATAGTACTGCTACTTCATGCCTGTGGAAAAAATGTAGAATGTTTTCAAGATTCCCAGCAGAAATGTCTTTGGCTGGGAGTGGATGGGCCAGAATGGCCTGAACATTCTAGTTCCTGAAGCCAGTGATTTTCCCTTTCTAAAGAGAAGTTTCCCTACAGTTCACTGAATTAAGGGAACTTCCAGTTCCCGTTTGGGCTTGTTTTCGTCATCAAACTTAGGGTGTTCCAACCTGTGCCCAAACTGTACATTAGTTTCCTAAGGCTGCCACAACAAATCACCACAAATTTGGTGGCTTTAAATAACACAGATGTATTGTTCTAGAGACCAGAAGTATGAAATCAAGATGTTGGCAGAGCCATGCTCCCTCTGAAGGCTGTAGAGGAGAATCCTTCCTTGCCCCTTCCAAGTTCTCGTTATTTCTGGTATTCTTTGGTTTGTGGCAGCATAATCCCAATCTCTGCCTCCCTGTTCATTGGCTTTCTTCCCTGTCTCTCTGTGTGTTCTTTTCTGTTGTGTCCTATAAGAACATTGCTATTGATTTTAGAAAAACCTGTCCTAATCCAGAATGATCTCATATCAAGATCCTTGTCTTAATTACATCTGCAAAAGCCCCTTATCTCAAATGAGGTCACATTCTCAGGTTGCAAGTGGACATATCTTCTGGGGGCCACAGTTCAACCCACTATACCATCAACTTTCATGTTTTCTATATTCCCTGAGAAGCTAACGTGGGGCAAAATAGAGGACAGCTAGCTAACTGATGATGGAAAAATAATAGTAGCTTAGATTTATTGAGTGCTAACCATGTGGCAGGCACAGTGCTATGTTTCCCAAATATAAATGCATCAGTCCCTATAGTGACCCTGAGGTGGATATGATCACCACCCTTTTTTCGGGAGGAGAAAACTAGAAGCCCAGGCAGAAAGACCCTCGGTTATGCACCTATGGAGGAAAGTGGTTTGAATTTGAGAACTTTGGCTCCAAAGCCCATATGTTTTGACCTTTGGACAGCATGGGGGTTAGTGGTGCCAACCCTCTGCACAGTTGAAAATCTGTGTTTGACTTTTGAGTCTCCCAAAATGTAATACTAATAGCCTACTTTTGACCAGAAGCCTTACAGATAACATAAACAGTTGATGAACACATATTCTGTGTGTTATATGTATTGTATGTTGTAGTCTTACAATAAAGTAAGCAAGAGAAAAGAAAATGTTATTAAGAAATTCATAAGGAAGAGAAAGTACATTTACAGTACTGCACTGTGTGTATCAAAGAAAATCTGCATGTAAGTAGAAACATGCAGTTCAAATCCATGTTGTTCAAGGGCCACCTATACATTGAAAAGTTAAAGCCCCTCTTCAGTTATAC